ATAAATTTTATGCTTTTTTATATTCTTAGAATAGATTAAGATGTCTAAATAATAAACAACAAAATTATCAAGAAATTCATAAAAGACATCATTTATTAAATGTTGAAAAGTAATTGGTACATTCATGAATCCAAAAGGTATGAAATTATATTTAAAATATCCATATCTGGTTTAAAACATAATTTTCTATTCATTTCTTTCTTTAATGCATACCAGATTATATGCTCCTTGTAGATCTATTTTTATATAGATCTTTGCTTGATTGAGTTGATCAAAAAGTCCTGAAATCAAAAGTAGAAAATACTTATTTTTGATGGTGATCTTGTTGTATTCTCGATAGTCTACATACATCTGTAAAGATCCATCTTTTTTCTTCACAAATAAGATAAGAGCCTAGCTAGTGATTTAGAATGGCATATGAAAATTTTAGCCAAGTTCTCATTAATATACTCTTTTAGTGCAATTAATTGATTTTTTGATAAGCTATAGATTAATCTAAATGGTGGTTAAGCTCCTTCTTGAAGATTGATGGAACAATCATAAGGACAATGCTCTAGAAAAATATCTACATTTTTTTTTAAAAAAACGTCTTGGAAATCTTGATACTAGTTTGGAATATTACTTGACGTCTTCTCACCATAAAAAATAAGTGTATCATATATAATAAAAGATAAACCTTCTTTTGCAACATACATGAACCCTCTCACACTTACCAATAAGGATTTGGATGTACTAGATTTATGAATTTCTACTTAACTAATGGAATTTTGGATTAAACTATCAAAAAAATTAAGGTTACAAGAAATCCAATCTATTTGAGGATTATATTTTTTTAACCAAGATAATCCTAAAATAACCAAATTAGATAGAGATCTTATTACATTAAACATTATTATTTTATTATGATCTTCAATTCTTATATCTATAGGAATAGTCTTATATATAACATCTCTAGAAGATAGTAAACAACTATCTATGACTTCTATATATAGAAGTTTAGTTTTCTTGACTAATAATGTTTCTTATTTTTGAAATAATCTTTGTCTATAAAACAAGCTAAGGCTCCTAAATCTAATAAAGCTAGAACTTTGTGATTTTTTTTTCCTAAATAAATTTCTATTGTAAAACAAGATGAGAGATATGAAGAGAGAATATGATCTTTACTAGGAATTACATAAGATTCCAGCCATATGGTTTGTATTGTAGTTGGAGAAACTCATTTTTTGACACATTGTTTTCATTGGAAATTAATACAAATTAATACAATATATCTTAAACTTTCCATAGAAGAAAAAAAGTCTCGACAATGTCAAGAAGACTTATGCTCCATTAAAGGCGCAAACTAAAAGACAACACTTTCCGATAGAAGTGCACCTATGAATCCGACTTGAGTAAATCCATAAGGATATTGGAAGGAATGTAACCTTAAATAGAGCTTGATTTATTACAAAAATCCTCAAAATTTTGATCTTGTTCTATCAAACTTCTTAGGCATACTAATTCTTGTCTTCATTATACTTGTAGAAGAAAAATTCCTTGGATTTGGTTGTGAGATTGATCTACTTGCTTCTTTCAATTGCATAACTTTTTGAAAATAACTTTGAACTTCTTCCATAGGTACAGAAATAATACCTCCATAATTCATGTTAGAAATACATGAAATTTCTACTCTTAGAATATTAAGAAGCTCATGAAGATTTACAATAGTTATAAATCTATTTTTACTTTTACTTACAATAGCATCTATAATTTTTTCTTTTATAGAAAACTCAAACAAATTCAAAAAGTTAAATAAGAAGAGGATAATCTGCAACTTCTAATATCAATTGAAAATTTCCACAAAAAGGTGTAATTTATTTTCTTTTGGGAAAAGATTAGTGTTAGAAAACAAGATTTTTTGTTTAAAGGTGGATAGTTTGTAACCTTCAAAAGACAACAATAGAAATAGAGTAATCCACTCACTTTTAAAATAAGATAAAAATAATAAGTTATAACTCTTGTTTAACTATCAAAGACATGAATTTTGAAGAAAAAAATCCTCAATATATTTCTATGTCATTGAAGAGAATTAAAAATTCATTTAAAGATGATATAATATTGAACTAGAATAACTATTGCCAAAAACAAGAAGATTAAAAAGTCTTGAAATAAGACTAAGAATTAGAAAGATATTGATAAGAGTGAAAAAAACTTCACTCTTACCTCTATGTACTTTCAACTAGGAGTTATGTGGTGATATCCTATAGAACCTCCAAAATATGTTGACTTTGTAAGACATGTATCTTAAGAGTGAAAAAGGCTTGCAAGAGTGAAAAAGACTTCACTCTTGTAAGTTTTCTATATGTGCGCCACATAGTTAACATATTTTGCAATCTATCAACATGTAGTTAACTTATTGATCAATTTTCTAACCTATCAATCAACTACAAATACATGTGAAATCAAAACAACATCTATGAAGCTTCTACGAAGCTTGTCTATAAGATATTATAAAATTTATCTATTTTTATCTATTTTTACCTACTTCTACCTAATTATATAAATACTTATTAAAGTACATATGTATATCCGTGACAATGTCCCTATTTAGTATCACTTATCAAAGGAAAAATGCCAAAAATTTGATACAAAGGCAAAGAAGGATATTTTTGTTGTATATAATTTGTTAGATTTTCAACATCCAAGTTAATAATAAATATTTCAACTTCAATCCTCAAGATTATATGGACATGATAGATTGGAAGGAAAAATGGTTGAAGAAGAAGCAAATTATATACCAATGGAAGTAATCAAATTCTATCAACCAAAAGTGAAGGCAACCATTCAAGGTCTATTACCAAGACATCATTATGTAGGTGGTATTGACCTAACAAATATTATAAGTGGTAGTAAGATGTATTGCATGCCTTGAAAAAAAAACAACAATTTTATTTGAAGAAATTATGACTTATCAATTGAAACATTGGATGTAATTCATATTGATGAATATGCAAAATTAGAAATTGTTGAGTAAGCCATAAATTCATCTTTTAGTAAAGAGTGGAGTTATGCCATGAAGGAAGAACTTGATGCTTTGAAAGATCATGGTACATGGAAATTTTTATTTTTATCTAATAGTAGGAAGGCTATGGTTTTAAAATAGGTTAAAAAAAAAAAAAAAAAAAAAAAAAAAAACTTATTAGCAATGGTTCTATTGAATTTTTTAAAGCATAATTAGTTGCAAAGAATTTTATTCAAATAAAGATTCTTGATTACTAATTTTTTCTCCAGTTGATTGTTTTACAAAAATTTATATATTTATTATAATTATTACTATCTTTAATTAGAATATATTATAACTTGATATTATTTTAGTTTATTTGAATGATAAACTTAGAGAAGATGACATTTATATGAAAATTGTAAAATATTTGGAAGTTTGATCAAAACACAAAGGCAAGGTGTTGAAATTGCTAAAGATTTTATATGATTTGAAGCAATCTAGATGTAGATGGAATAAGAATTTGGATAAATCTTTATTGAATCTTGATTAAGAGTACTTAGAATTAGATCCTTATTTGTATACAATGTGCATTAAAGGACTAATTCTTATACTAATTATTTATGTTGATGATATTTATTAGTGATAAGAATTTTGAGATCTTTATAAAATGCAACGATGAATTCTAAAAATACTATAAGATGAAAGACCTTGGTGAACCTAGTGATTTTTTTTGCATTGATTTTTTGCAAGATAAGAAAAATGATACTATTAATTTGAGCTAAATTAAGTATATTTATCAAAAGTTGGAAGAATTTCGAATAAAAAATATAAAAGCAATTACTATATCAATAGTACAAAGTCATGTCACTAAGCATAAGAATGATGATCTTTTGGATGCAAAAGATATAAAGTTTTATGAAAAAGCTTTAGGTTTTTTATTGTACCTTCCAAATGGTATAAGATATGACATTGCATTTGCTTGTTAAGACTTTGCTCAATACATGGCACATCCGTATGTTCCGCATTGGTAATGAATTAAAAAAATATTTTGTTATCTGCAAAGAATAAAATATTTGGTAATTGCAACATAAAGGAAAGGAAGCAAATTTGCAACTTATAGACTATAGTAATGCAAATAGAATAGGTTGTGTGGAAACATGCCATTTAATAAGAGCTTATGCATTTATATTGGGGTGGGCAATTACCACTTGATGAAACAAGAAGCAATCTTTAGTTTATTTTTTTTCAACGGAGGCAAAGTATGCAACTTTGGCTGCTACAACAAGGGAGACTTTGTGACTTCATAAAGTACTTAGGGATTATGACCTTCTTGAGTTGGAAAGAATTCTTATTTATAAAGATAATTAGAATGCCATTGCTATTGCCAAGAATTCAATACACTATGGCTATACAAAGCATTGGAATATAGAACATCATTTTATTAGGCAATGTGTGGAGAAAGGACAAATTGATTTGGAGTATTGTCCCAAAGAACAAATGTTCATGGACAACTTTACAAAACCTCTTCTAAGAAATAACTTTCTAGCTTTTAGGGAAATATTAGGTCTTATTTTAGTAGAGAATTAAATCCCACTTTTAGAAGAGAAGTGTTGAATGTTCCATACTACATGTATTGAAAGCTGTGACTTATCCAACATTTAACTAAGACATTGGAAGTGCCCTTTCTTTGGCTTCTGGGACATTCTCATTTGCAATATTCATCCAGTTTTCTTCACAAGTAGTGCTGGTGGTGCAATTCCTTGTGGGGTCGGCAAGCATGAGAACATTGTTGGGATTTACATTTCGGCAAGGTTGTCTAGGACGAAGGGCGCCTGGATGGGTCAGTCGTGTTGAAAGAGTGGTGGGTGAACGTTTGGTGTCGTGGGCAGCGTTGAATTGCTCGGGGTTGATTCCGCCAGCGGTGGGTTCCAGAAAAAGGTTGGCGGCTTGGAGGCCCACCAGCGAGTCTCCTAGGATCGAAGGTCATGGAAATGGAACTTTGGGTACGGGCTTTCTGAGAGGATTGATACGTTGTTCACCGTCCAGCTCATTCTGAAGACTCTTCTTGGCTGTGCTCTAGCCGGTGCGCTTTGTCTCCTGCAGGTGCACCTTGTTCAGCGGCCTTTGAGTTTGTCTCCCAGTCTGTGCCCTGGTTTTACACGAAAGCTGTCTTTACACGACTTGATCCAATTGTTTTTTGGGGGAAAGGTATCAGTCCCGTGAAGCTCACCTTGTTCGTAAATGCACTGATCTTAAATTTGGAAGCCATGTCTTCGAGGGCGTTCATCACGTTTAGGTACGACTTTGTGCAATTTTTTTGAAATCTGAACGAAGTGTGCGATGGCTCCATTTCACAACATAGCTTTAGTCTCCGAACAGTGTGCTTGACACCTTTTGATCCGAAAGATTCTTTGTTACTACGTTGTTGAGTTGTGGCTCCGCCGCCACTCTGCAGCTCCACAGAGAATTCTCGCATGAGTTCTTGGTTCTGTACTAACAGAAGTAGGGTCTAGTAGCCGCTTACATTTATTTTTAGACAAGTTATGGCAGGGCTTAGAAACGCTAGATATGTTGAGTTTGGAACTACTTCTACGTGTTATGCCTTGCATGCAGTGTTGTTTCCTTGTGTGTGTCGGCTCAAGTTCCGGGACTCTGCTTTCTAATCCAGTTCTAATTCGAAATATTTTTCTTCTCTGTTCTCAGGGTCATATCCAGGCAATTTTGTTTTTGAGGATAGGCGTTACTCAAAAATGGCAATATACTAGTCAGTATTTCACCCCAACACCCCTTCCTACATTCGTCCCGCTTCTTGTTGGACATGACGGCATCACAAAACTTGTACTGACCTGTGTTGCTTGTGCCCTGGCAGTTGTAGGGGATGTAATCGGTGTCTAAATCTCAACGACGAGTTCTTGTTCCCCCCAAACGCATATTTTGAAGCCGGCAACAAAGGCACAGTGTCATTCTGGGCAGTGGACAATACCGATTTCCGCCAGAAAGAGCAGAACAAATGCTTTCCATTCTTTGAGACGCTGGACCACTGGGGATTTCGACGGCGGCGCACCAAGCTGACCTGCGCGGCATGTGGTAACCGCCTGGGATACATCTACGACGATGTTCCATCGGAGCATGGAATCGGCCAGGGCGGTTTCGGCTATTCTCAAGTAGTTCCTCGCCGCCTGCGCTACCGCATGAAGCGAAAAGCTATACGTATTTCTGGTTACTTTAATTCTAAACGTGTTTGAAATTCGAACTATTTCCAAGTTAATTTTGTTTATCGTAATTATACTTTTTGAATGAGTGATGTATCGTAATTACTGCTTTCCTCTGAAGCCTGATCAGTATCAGGAAAAGCTCGTATTCTGAATGTAGAGATTACCTTTTGCTAATAGGTTCACGTATTCTCCGTAATTATTTATATTATAACCATGTTCATAATGTGTATTATTTGAAAATTCGCAATTTGAAACTTTTGTACTGTCGAGAACTGCTATGTGTGTAGGAGTTCTTTCAGAAGTGCCAATATCGAGTGTAGCCAATTCATACTGATAAAACGTGCAAGTTTTTGGCACCGCTAAAGATAATTTGTGTGAAACATACTTTTGAGAGCAGCTGCTACATTCATATTATGGTGATACCAACATGCTAAGCTATTTGTTCACAACTGCAGTGGTCACATGAGTGGGTATTAATTGTTCGGAGCTCGTTTGTAAGGGGTGCTAGATAGAAGATCAAATTGTGGGTATTAGATTCTTGATCAACTGTAATTGATTACACTTTTCCTGTTAGCTTCAACGCGTTTATATCCTGTTCTAGATAAAAGCTGCAACCAATCTGAATGTGGCCACGGAGATGGATTTCACCTTTGAGTTGCATCTGTCTCTGCAAGCTATGATAGCTGAAAAGAGGAGGAACAAGCTAAATTCCTGTATTTACCAAGAGTAGGTCTTCATCAATACCCCAAAGCGGCCACGTAGGATATAATAGCCAGTGATGGAAAACGTCTGCAATGAAGAACATAAAATAATGTCACCCTCGTCTAAATTTGAGGGTTTGCCCAGCATCAATGATTCTATCAACTTGCAATGCTTTATGGTACGAACCCTTCTTGAAATTTTACGGTATGTTCATAAGATTGATTCAAGAAAATAGAAATAGAAATTCGAAATCACCGACTGAAGCAAAAGCCTGCAACAATCTACGATTCTCAGCATCAGCTGGAAGCTCAGGGCGCATTAACTGATGGACAACATCACGATTCACGAGTTACTCATTGAGAGGAAGCCTATGGAAATTATTGTGGTTCACACTAACCACATCTCGAAATCTCTTCCTTCACTCGGCGTTAGAACGTACCAACAGCAGATCGTGCAGGTAGTGACTAACTGCAATGCAGGGCATTAAGATATATTGCAGATAGTCGTCTCAGAATAACACTATCTAATGACAGCCTTGCATTAGGATATAGTTGTACATTGGTTTTCCAGAATAATTCATGGATAGGGTTGAATTGGACAGAGCATCATAGTTCTTGTGAACAAGTTTTGGGTATCAAGGCTAGCTGGGATGTTGGGACAATTCAGTCCCCTGAGCTAGACAGTGGAAATATGAAAAATACCAACAATCGACACCATATGCATGCGATGCATTCTAATTCGAAACAAAACAGGGTAGACCCACAACACTGCAGTGCAAGTAAGAAACGGAAAAAGAATCAACGTGAACAAAATATTTGTTTTAGTGGTTACTCATGTGCAATGCTCCTGGATTGTGCACGAAGCTTGACGCGAACCCAGTTGCGATAACAGGTAGACCAAATTTTGACAAACAAATTACTTCACCTCGAGTCGGCATACTGGATTTGATTTGATAAGCCTCAAGTCCACCTGTAGAAAGAAACTACCAAATTGTTATTGCTAGCCTCAACAAGTAATCCACCATCTACAGTATATCTGAAAGAATGGTATCTTGAATTACATAGCACAGGAAACACTTGGTGACTCTGAGCAGACAGCTCTTACACAGATAATGAGCTCTTAGGGGAGTCTCATGTAATACTATTGATCACGCTATATTTATCTTAACCTAATGGCACGTCAGCCCTAGTCGGATTACACCTTGTTTTTCGGGGGCAGATTAATTCCAACACCCTCCCTTAATCCTGTGGTCGGGTGTACTTCGACAGGTTCACAGTGAGTACTCTGGTTGGGAGTGTGCTGTCCGTTTCCTGTCGAAGGTCTCCCATTGAGAGACTATCGTTTCTTTGTTTACTCAGTTATTGGGGTGCGTGCCGTCAGTTATTGGGGTGAGTGTCGCGTGTTGAAAACGTCATTATTATTAATATGATCAATTGATACACAATATATATATATATATATATAGTCACAACTCTTGGTGTAAGGTCAATATAGAATAGATAGTATTCTACTTAGTAGACTAATGTACTATATAGTATAATTCTCCCAATACTCCCACTAGTACACTAATCTTCATCCTCGAATTAAATTTCATCTATTGCGGAAGTTCATCCATCATGAGAAATATGTATGAGAAATATAGGATTTCAATCTCCTTTTTGGGTGTTGCATTGATGTAGAGCTCTCTCGCAGCTCTCCCACTGCTTCTTCAAATCTGAGAAGGTATGTGTTTCTTTGTTGATTTTGAACTATTGTTAGATTGTGTTTCTTTGTTGATTTTGAACTATTGTTAGATTGTGTTTCATGATTGCTTTGCGCACACTCCTTTTTTTGTTGCGAAGTTGTTTTCGTTGTTGTTAATGGATGCGCTGTTGCTATTGAAGATTGCTGCCGCCGTGAAGATCGGCTCCGCTACTTGCGTATACATTGATGGAGGTCGGTTGTCGATGTAGGTGCCTTGGTGGGCTTTGCAGTGGGATCGACCATCGATGCGGGATCGGCCATGGCGAGCTCCGCTGCTGCAGTGGAGTCAATCGTGGTGGGCTCCATTGTTGTTGTGGCGAGCTCCTTTGTTGCAGTGGAGTCGCCAGCTGAGGCAAGATCGGCCGTGCCAGGCTCTATTACTACTGTGGTAGGCTCCGCTGTTGCTGTGGTGGACTTCGCTATCGCAATGGAATCGCCAATTGATGCGAGATCGGCCATGGTAGGCTGCGCTTTAGCTGTGGCAAGCTCTGCTATTGTTGTGGCATAAATTTGTGTATTTTGATATTTCATGGATTTGTAGTGAGGTAGCTTACTGTTTGTTCTCCCACTCCATGATGTATCAAAATATGGTTGTTGTAGAAGGTCTAGTGATTTTGAGTAGACCAGCAATGCTTGAATTGTTGCAGAATAGGTTTCTTATTTTGAATTGAGAGAAATAGGATACATGCCTCATTGAAATAGGCATTGAAAATGTTTCTCTTTGAAAAGAGATTTTGTAAATACATCTGCTGTCATATGTGTGGTTGACACATATTGTAATTTAATTTCCTTGGCAAGTATCTTTTCTCTTATGAAATGGTATTGTGTGTCCACATGTTTTGGAGTGATATTTTGGATTTTCACTGAGAGTAATTGTACTTTGATTGTCTGAGTATATGATGGTTGGTGCATGTTGAGGGAATCCAAGTTCATATAATAATTTTCTCAACCATATGGCTTCAAAGGTTGCTTTTGTTAAAGCCATGTATTCTAATGTGTGGATGAAAAAGCAATAGATTGTTGTTTCTTACTGTCGCAACAAATAACTTCTCCAGCTAGTAAGAAGCAAAAGCTAGAGGTGGAGCGACAGGTGTCCTTATCACCTGTCCAATCAGCATCAGAATAACCATGGAGAATATCACCTTGAGATAAGTGTTGATATTTTATTCCAAAGGATAATGTGCCTTTTATATATCTCATAGTTCTTTTCAAAGTTTGAATATGGAAAGGTCCTGGTTTAGAGAGATATTGTGCTAAATTGCTGATAGTATAAGCACGATCGGGTCTAGAATTAACAATGGCATATATTAAACTGCTAAGAATTTGAGAATAGGGATAATCAGATAAAGTAATAGGGTCTTCATTACTTAAATGAATTCTTGGCTGAATTGGGGTACTTAATGGATTGGAATTCAACATATTGAATTTATTAAGTTTATTTGTTAAGTATTTGGCTTGATGGAGGATGATCCATCATTCTTTTTGATTTCTTAATATAGCATTACCTAAAGTATAATGGATTTCTCCTTCATTAGATATGTCAAATTCTTGCTGGAGAATATCTTTGACTTGTTGAATTAAAGGAAGCTTGTTGTTGATAAGAATATAGTCATCAACATAGATTGTAATTATGGTAAAATTTTGATTATGTTTTCTTTTGATGTATATGTTTGCATCTGATTCGAGACATTAGTATTTATGAAGGATTAAGTATTGATCTAATTGTTGATACCATGCTCTAGATGATTGTTTAAGATCATATAGGGATTTATTTAATTTACATATCTTATTAGTATGTATAGAAGGTAATCCTTTAGGAATAGTCATATAGATGTCTTCTTCTATAAAACCATTTTAAAAAGCTGTTTTAACATCTAGTTGATGTATTTCCAGATTGTGTTGAGTGGTTAAAGCAAGAAGAACTTTGATAGAGATAAGTTTGACTACAAGAGAGTATGTCTCTATGTAATCAATACCTTGAACTTGGGTGAAACCTCTAGCAACTAGCCTTGCTTTATATTTGTCAACACTTCCATCAGCTTTAGTTTTGATTTTAAAAATCCACTTGAAACTGATTGGTTTTTGATTAGGAGGTAAATTTGTCATGTGCCATGTATTGTTCTTGTTTAAGGATGTAATTTCAACATTGATTGCTTGTTGCCATTCTTGAGCATCAACCCTCTCTATTCCTCTTTTCATGTGGTTTGGAGCTACTATTCTCTCTTTGTGAACTCCTCTTGAAATTCTTATTAAAATAAGATTTCTTATTATTATTCTGAAATTTCTTACCTCCATATAAGGCTGAATTATTATTAGATGTTAAATTCATATTTATCATGAGTATTTCTTCTTGGATCAAATCTGTTATCAAGGATGTTAATGTAATCCCAAGCTGCCTTTTTAAGGAGCTAATGAAGGATCTATAACTTAGAGGCAAACTTCTCATTAAAGTGAGAATTGCTTTATCATCTGGAACTACTGATCCTGCTGCCAACAATTGTTCTATATGTGCTCTAAAGGTATGTATGTATTTAATAACACTATCACCTTCTCTCATTTTTAAGGTGTATAATTTGTCTTTTAAATACATCTTAGTTACTGCATCATGTGATTCAAATATTTTTACTAATTCTTGCCATGCTACAGTTGCTGATGTGCAAGATTGTATATGTGAAAAAATATTGTTTTCTAGGCAATTATTAATTATAGTTAAAGACAAGATATCCTTGTCTATCCATGCGCTTATACTCCCTACTCCTATAGTAGGTAAAGTTGGGATTCCTACAGCAATTTCAACTTCTATTAGTTCCAGTGGTAAGAATTCTTCACCACTTACTATGGGCCATAACTTTTTAGCCTTGAAAACTAATGTTAGTCTATGTTTCCATA